TCAAAATAGATGTGGAACCCAGATACAAAGATGGACAGATTAAAGAAGGCGAGGACTTCTTTGCTTCTTGTAATGAATATCGTCAAATCCACGAACTGACAACGTGGTATGTACTTCATTATTGGACAATTTTCAAGTGGATCCTAATAACCCACTGGAAATCTTAAGCATTACACGTAACAAGGCTGGTGAATACATGTGTTCAGCAGAGAATACATACTATGATGGAACTACAGGAAAGACTGAAGAGATCATCACAATAGATGTGCAATGTAAGTAGAGGGCGCTATTATTGTATGTGAGAATGACACTAGAAGGCGCTATCATTGATGTTCCTTTTACAAACTCTGGGTATGCCGAGCATACTGTAGAATACTTTATTTTTGCTTGTAATTTATTTTCGGTGAAAAAATCCAGCGAACATACTTTTTTTCTATATTTCACATTAATCAAAAATCAGTGAAAATAAATTCCATACATATGGCGTTTTCAGCAAAAATTAATTTCATCAAAAATAAAGTATTCCCCAGTATTACCTTTATTCTATTCATTTTGGATATCTTAATAATTTAGGTCTTGTTAGCACAGACCTCATCTCCCTATTCAGCTATAACAACTTTAATGTAGAGTCAGTGTTTTTGTAAATGATCTCCATACGTTTTACTGCAGTGCTTTAAGATTTCTTTATTGAAATGAATTGCAAATTCATACAATGTCTTGTTTATATCTGTATGTGCAGATATAAACATGTCCCATGCAATTTATTATTAAATTAATCTTTGTATAATTACTAGACATTCCAGTTGTTGCATTGGATGAGAGCAAGACTGTGAAAGAGGGAGACGCAGTGAGTATAAACTGCAGTACATTCATCACGGAAGCCAATCCTGCTGCCAGTGAGTTCCAGTGGATCCGTAATAGTGCTGTGGAGCAGACCACCGAAGAATTAACCATAGATAGCGTAGCACGAAGCGATGCTGGGTTGTACAGTTGCTGGGCCTTCAATTATTTTTATGATGGCAGTCCAGGCAAGGGAGAGAGTACTACTGAACTTGTTGTCCATTGTAAGTGTAACACAAATTGTGGATTGGGGTCATTGGTCAAAAGTTTTAATTGTAGTATAGCGCAAATGTAACATGCTGATTGCCATGAAACTGAACAGATGTGAATAGTATGCCTTCAATAGTATGTTTTATTTCATATTGCATTTTACAGATTCCTCGTTTCAAACTGTTAGATTATTTTTCATATCTTTGGCTTCTACGCCAGAATACATCACTAATTTTGTGAATTCCATGCAAGCACTTTGGTTGGCCTTGTATGTATATTTTCAGAGGTTTATAAACACTGTTGCTCAACTAGATGACGTTACATTTTTAATATAAATTGATGCCAAATAAAACAAATATTGTATTTGTGGTAACTCCTAGATTTTCAGGTTGATCCTGTATCTTTTTATGGCTGAGACACCTTTTAACTCTATTTGAAATTCTTCATTAGTCTCCGTTCAGATACTACTAATTCTTATTCCTGGTTTCTTCCGTCCACACCCTTTATGTCTCCAACAGTTTCTCAGAAATTCTGCAGCAGATTTTATGAAACTTGTTGGGTTGATGAGCAAGTCTCTGTTGAATATGCACGTAATTTTTATTTCCAGATCAGAAAATCCTATGTGGGTCAATATTTTCATCAAAAATTACCTCTCCCTACTGCACTGACAGAACAACTGAGCATGCTCAGAATACGTTGATTCGGTTAGATTCAGATTTACCAAATGTAATCTTCGATCGGTAATGTATACTTTTCAGTACTAAGAACCTCAAAGCCTCAGAACTCAGACCCAACTTTGCAGAATCTCGGAACCAACTTTTAGAACCCAATTTCAAAATAGCTTACTTATCATCGGAAGTCAAGCTTCAGCCTTGGCAAAACTTGTTTTCCACTGTAAGTAAGCATGCAATTGCATTACATAATCACTGAGTTATCGAATATGAACAGTCGTGGTTCCGAATCTTCGAAAATTTGACTGCTTTTGTGTTGTGACAAAATGCCAATTTTCACTGCTACAAAATGATAATTTTCAATCTCGTGAAAATGTGTACACTCCAAAATAGCACACTGTCCACTTTTGACTCGCTCATTTTCACTTTTGGCATACCATGTGCGCTCATCTTAATCTTGAACTTGTTCAGGGAGTTTTCAAACCAGTACACATATTTCATTAGTTTAAATTGCTGCAAACCAAAATAGTCGCATCTGTAATTAAATCTCACATTTCACTGCTACAATGGCATACATTATATTATACATATATCTAATAACATAAGCAGTCAACAATCAATTTACTGAATTTTCTTGTATCCTTGATCACTTCCCATCCTCCTACGTTCCGCACTTTGATGTAAATAAGCTTTACATAGACTGTTAATCCCTGTTCGGAAGAAGTCCGAAAACGGGGACTATTAATTTGGGTTCCGTCCGTTCCTGTGTTCATGTATCTTTACGTCCTTGTGAACGTCTGGAGCAATTTCTCAGGCACCCATTGACCGATCTCGTTCAAACTTGGTATACAGACAACCTATGATGACCTACATATGTGCGCTGATTTTCGTTACGTTTTGATTAAATATGGCTGACTTGCAGCCATTTTCCCCTCAAATTTGCTAAATTCTGATATTTAAATGTGTCCGGATCGGTTTCTCTGAGCTGAAGAGGGCGATTTCAATCAAACTTTGTATGGCCATTATGCATATTGTGTTATAGGTTCACATCACCTATTTTCCCGAGAATCGGTTCAGATTGCCAACCGGCGGCCATTTTTTTCCGTTTTCATGCTGATTCCTCCATAAAATATGGCCTTATTCAGTTCAAAGTGTGTACATAGGTACTATACTTCAAGATAACACAACACCATATTTTCTTTTGAGATTTAATTGTTTTGTTTTTCGCAATGGCGGCCATTTTGTTTAATATCTTAAAATCAGTCTGTAACGTGTCTGGAACTGTCAGGGCTGAATAGGGTGATTCCAATCAAACTATGTATAATGATCATGTATATTGGGTTACACGTGCACGTCATATTTTTTTAAAAATTGGGCCAAAATGGCTGACTAGCGGCAATGTTTTTTTTTCTTTTCCTTTTTTGTGCCGATTCATCTGGAAGATATGACCTGATTCACATGAAAGTGTGTACTTATGTCGTATACCGCAAGGTAACACAACAACATGTTTTGCTTGAGAGCTGATCAAATTTGTCAAAAAAACATAATATTATTCTGTAACATGTTTCTTAGAGCTAAACAGGGCAATATGGCCTCATTCAGTTAAAAGTTGAATAGGGCATTTTCAATCAAACTTTGTATGATGACCTTGCATATTAGGTTATGGTGCAAGCCATATTTCTTACAATACCCGACTGAATACTGTAAAATGACTAATTTTCACTGGGTTTAAATTTCACTGATTTACCATTTCAGGCATATTCAGTGGGTTTTAAATTCACGGTTTCGTCATTTAGATAATGTGTTCTATGCTAAATTTTACATATTCACTGTGTTTTAATTTAGCACATTTTTCCAGTCAGCGAAATAATCTAAATTAAAACCCAGTGAATAATTAACCCCTTTACAGTACATTTATCTTTCATGCTATTTCCACTGTAAGATATAGTCAGATTCAGCTCAAAATTTCCAGGTACTATATTGACAGTGACACAATCTATAATCTTCATTAGTGTTAAAAAAATATTGATCTTTCATTTCTACATGTCACTTGTACTGAACATTTACATCGACTACGGCTAATACTTAACAAGGACAATGCAATATCAATGCTTGTTGTATCTATTGTAAAGTTTGTGTTTGACTTTTTTTTTGCTACTTCTCACCAACGGTACATTCTTATTTTCAGATTCACCTGACATAGTTGATGCTGTTGACAAAGTTGCAGTCAATGAAGATGAAATGGGAGTTCTCGTATGCAAATCCGATGCTTTTCCTGATCCCCAGTTCAAATGGTTGAACTCTACTTGTGGTGAGCTAACCAATGACGTTGAAGGATTACAGATAGCTGAGAAATATGAAAATAATCTTTTTATTAGTACCTTAACAATTGAGAAAGTGAATTCTGCAAAAGACTATGGCAGATATGATTGTATGGCCTATAACGAAATTGGCACAAAGTCGCTGCAGATTGAACTTGTTCCAATCAGTAAGTAGTGGGGAATATTACTTTGGGGGCCTGTTGTTTCATGTTATCCTTTTAGTCTGATTTAATAAAGAAATTATAGATAAATTTGTAGAATGTTGCACCACAATTTCAGCATCCAGCGGTGCACATGGTCAACAAGATAGAAAATTATCTTTTTGTTCAAAAATAACAAAATAATAGTACATTTAAAAGAATGTGTCAAATCGTGCTCTACATTTTTCCAGAAAACAAAGCCTAAGAAAAATAATTTATTCTGAAGTGGCTCAAAATGTAATAAATTGAATGTCACTCCTCTGATTTGTTGGCTTCACTGTTGAATTTGTAAAGCGGAGCTTATCATATGAGTGATTGTCATCGTCCGTGTCAACTTATTACTTTTTCAACTTCTTGTTAAAAACCGCAAGTCGAATTGCTTTTATATATTATACATGTACGTACTACAGGTATGCCACTCTCAGATTCATTCATTTCATGATGATTTTTTTTCGATTATTCAATATCGAGTTATTGTTCAAAATAGCAATCTGATTGCTTTGATATTATACATATATATAGGTACCCTGGGTAGACTTCTCTCAGATTTGTTCATTTTCTAATGATATCTTCAGTTCTTTAATTGGAATGTGCATTGCTAACAGCGGAGGCTGCTTGTTTTTGTATGTGAAAATTGCCAGTGCTCGTGTTGACACATTGAGCAGTTTTGCTACAGAAGTCGTATTCCTGTTTAGGACTACATGACAGGGCTGTGGGGACATTTCTATATCAAATGGCAATTTAATATATTATCCTGGCATTAACCATGCTTGATCGAACACAAGAACCTGCAAACATTAATCATGGTTTCCCCCAAAGTCGCAATCCTTAGTGAATTAATTTCGGCCAGTGCAACTGTCTGCAGCACACTCGCCCATGGTTGTGGGTTGTTGGTGTTGAGTTTATGACAAGATTTGAACTTGGTTGTACTGATCATGAGTCTCATGCTACAACCACTATGTTATGCCAAAATGTTTTACAATCTAAATTCTCACTTTGCAGCCATACCTGAGAAACCCACAATAACTGAGACAAGCGTCACTGACACAACCATTACAATCACCTGGACTCCCGGATTCAATGGAGGGCGCCCTCAAACATTCACAGTGAAATACCAGAGCTTGGAAACGCTGAATGAAACTAAATCAACCGAGATGAAAGATGATGGTTCAGAATCCTATACATATACGATAGAGGGTTTGAAAGAGGATACTGAGTATGCAGTATGGGTGCTAGCAACTAACACCAAGGGTGAACAAGAAGTGAAGTCATGTGTTTTGAAAACTGGCAGTAAGTTATCTATAGTACTAATCTTGGATTACTTGCATCTCACAAATATGGTACATAACTGTAGACAAGGGATGTATTGAGGATGATGTAGCAATTCAGTAACTCCTTTTATTGCCTTTCTCGAATCATAAATGAGGAAGGGTAAAGGAGGGGAAAGTTTCAGTCCGCAGCATCTGTCGTCGGGCTTATTAACTATGGCTTGCTAGTACAATAAGTCAAACAATATTTCAACTGCTTTTCATTTTACTATGTGTTCACAAAATAGTGACATTAGAGGCAATATGTACAGCTACAAATACTATGGGATCTAGTACTCCATATACCCAAAATAGTCTACAAACCATGTAAGTATACAATGTGTTCACATTATAGTGACATCAGAGGCAATATGTACAGCTACAAACACGATGGGATCTAGTACACCATATACCCAAATAGTCTACAAACCA